AGAGGTTGGCTGGATTAAACCAACTCTTGGTACTCTTCAGTTGAAGTAAGGACATCGGCTAAAGAGTGGTTGGTTGGAAAAACCAACACCCCTCTTAAGCCCAGGATAAGGATCCAGGCTGCAGGACGTTTGGTCGAAATAACCAAACACTTTACTTTAGGTTGGCTGGAAAAACCAATCCAGAGGTTGGCTGGATTAAACCAACACTTGGTACTCTTTAGCCGAAGTAAGGATATCAGCTAAAGAGTAGTTGGCTGGATTAAACCAACACTTGGTACTCTTCAGCCGAAGTAAGGACATCGGCTAAAGAGTGGTTGGCTGGATTAAACCAACTCTTGGTACTCTTTAGCCGAAGTAAGGATATCGGCTAAAGAGTGGTTGGCTGGATTAAACCAACACTTTGTACTCTTTAGCCGAAGTAAGGATATCGGCTACAGAGTGGTTGGCTGGATTAAACCAACACTTGGTACTCTTTAGCCGAAGTAAGGATATCGGCTAAAGAGTGGTTGGCTGGATTAAACCAACACTTCGTACTCTTTAGCCGAAGTAAGGATATAGGCTAAAGAGTGGTTGGCTGGATTAAACCAACTCTTGGTACTCTTTAGCCGAAGTAAGGACATCGGCTAAAGAGTGGTTGGCTAGATTAAACCAACTCTTGGTACTCTTTAGCCAAAGTAAGGATATCGGCTAGAGAGTGGTTGGCCGGATTAAACCAACTCTTAGTACTCTTTAGCCGAAGTAAGAATATCGGCCAAAGAGTGGTTGGCTGGATTAAACCAACACTTGGCACTCTTTAGCTGAAGTAAGGATATCGGCTAAAGAGTGGTTGGCTGGATTAAACCAACACTTAATACTCTTTAGCCGAAGTAAGGATATTGGCTAAAGAATGGTTGGCTGGACTAAACCAACACTTAGTACTCCTCAGCTGAAGTAAGGATATCGGCTAGAGAGTGGTTGGCTGGACAAAACCAACTCTTAGTACTCTTTAGCCGAAGTAAGAATATCGGCCAAAGAGTGGTTGGCTGGATTAAACCAACACTTGGTACATAGTTCTTTTTAACTTAGGGGTGGTTTGGCATCCCCTATATAATTCATCTTTTTATATTTTTTTCATCATATCATCTCTTTATTTTTTTTGCGGCAAGCGATTGCTATACCTCGTCCAAGACTTCAATCAGAAAGTAAAATACAAGTATAGAGATCAACCGAAATGAGAGTTGAAACAAAAAGAAGATTTTCATTGGCAAGTTCAAAGCATTCCCCAGCCCGGTTACAATTTGTGACCAGCAAAAAAAAAATTACAGAAATCAAGCAAGAAGAAGAAGAAGGCAAAGTCAGGAAAACAGATCATCAAGATCCACATCAAGTTCAACTCGCAGCCCGGATTCAATTGGAAGCTCGGTTTCGGTCGAGAGTATGGTCTCGGTTGGAAGCACGGTTTCAGTTAGTAGTTCGACAGTCAAATCTTCCACTGTTGGCTCCGACCAAGCCGAATGACAGGAGGGATCATTGACAACCGGGGTATCGTTGGGCACGGTTTCTTCTTCATCTGAATCTTCAAGAAACTGTTGCTGAGTGGTAGCAGCATACTCCGCCAGTGAGCTCGGTATAAAGTATTGAGGAGGATTGAAGACCTCAGTCTCAGGCCCATGACCGAGCTGCACCACAGCACCCCTCCACCCGCATTTAAAAAAGAGATCCTTTGTAGCTTCACACTGCTTAATGTATAGGGCTTCACCCTCTTTAAAGCCCCGGTCCTCTACAGCCTCCAACTTCTTCTCAAGCTCCGTTATTTCGGCCTTCTTTTTTCCTTCGAGCTTGGCCAGCTCACGAAGGTATTTGTCTTTCATCAGTGTCAAGGACCTTTGTTTATCAGCATTAGTCGAGGTAACTAGTCCGGTCAGACGGGTGACCTCGACCTCTAGCTCGGTGGTCTTCTGTTGAGATGCTTCTAGCTCAACCGTTTTGGCTTCAGCTTCTGCCATTGCTTACCTTGTTGTTTTCCTAAGTTCTAACACTCGCTTGTGAGTGATATAGTTTTTCTGTATGGCCTGCAAAAGAATGGTAAGACACTTTTTCAGTATAACCGAGCTGTTAGATTGGACAAATTTCTTTAGAAAAAATAAAGGGGCAACTCACCAGCACCATGAATTTTGTGGACGAGCGAAGGGCCTTCAGCTCGGTCAGATGGTCATGATGCCTCATGTCGGCTGGAAGACAAACACCTTTAGCCAAGTTGAAGGCCATCAGGTGGTCTTTTTCTACGACCACTGAGTCCGAATCCATGATTGCACGGTTCTGAAAGGTGATTTTTGGAGCCCACTTGGAGGAGGTAGCTTGGTCAGAGCGCTCCGGTTGTGGGCTCGGTGGAGGGCCTGGCAGAGTGGTTTGAGGAACCACGGTTTCATCTTCATCAACAAGACGTTGCTCGGTTTGGGTAGTCCATGCATGCTTCTTCGGGCGAGATGATGAAGGTTGTTGAGAAGGCAGAGCTACTACGGTTTCTTGAGTTTGACCAGCTGGCGGTACCTCGGTCGGATTTGTTTCAGTCAGAAGGGCTCGCACGGCTCTCTTCTTGGCTATCTCTTGCTCAACAGTTAAAGGGATTAATCTTATTTGGGGCAAGGTTGGGTCCGGTTCAGGCGAAGCCTCCAACAAGAAATCAGTTACCTTGGTCTTTCGTTTGCCACTGTATCGATAGGTCGGCTGGAAATTCAATAGCTCGGTCTAACTTCAGCTTGGATATCGAAGCGCGGCACGAAGTGTAGCTAGGTTAGGGTAGTTGTACTGTGACTTGAGGAAGTTCGAGTCTGCATAAAAAGAAGACAACTGTTAGTCCGGTTCAAATATTGAAATCCGAAGTAAAGAAAGGCGTTCAATGGAGCCGAGATAAACCTACCGACTACCCCCTTGTTCCAGTTTATTCTGTCACTAGGGATCTGGGCTTGTTGGTCCTCAAAATTCTCAAATACCCAGAAGAAATCGTCGTCGTTCACATCTTTGTCTGGAGTATCTTTTATTATCTTTTCACGCCGGTGTCTTATTCTTAAATAATAGACCCATCCATCTTCGGCGGATCCTATAGAATATTGGTGGAAGAGTTCTGCAAGCCCGAGGTTAAGACCAGCCCGGTCGTTTAGCGCGGCAATGCCGTTTATTATACGGTAGGAATTAGTGGAAAGTTGGGTAGGGCAGAGTTTGGTTTGCTTAAGGAATTCATAAAGGAGGGCTGTATTGGGAAATGTAGACCGCATTCTACGATTGAAATAACATTAAAAGGGACAAAGCCTTGCTTTCCCCAAGGGATGATGTCTAGCTCGGCCAGTGAAAGGTGGACATCCTCTGGGATTTGGTAGTCCTTGCGAAATTTAGTCATTGCGCCAGGAGAGTCAACTAAAAACCTATACTTTCCCATTTGTGGTTTGTTATGAATAAATTATATGTGGGTGTTAGCTCGGTGGGAAAATGATTCTGAGTAGCTCGGTTGAGCGCTCAAGGGAATGCCTGGGCAACCTAAGTCTGCAAGGTAAAAAACAAGGGTGTTACGCACAGATCGTAGGACCGTGCTAAGAAGAAATAACGGCAAGATAAATGAAGTCCTAGCTCGGCTATGCGAAATGCTTCATGTCTTAGCTCGGTTTGAGTAAAAGGTCTGTTAGCTCAGTTTTTGCAAGGGATTTGTTAGTCCGGTTGAGCATCAGTGGGTAGCGCTCTTAGTTCGGTCTGAACTACGAAGGCTGGGTTAGCCCCAAGTTATAGCTCGGCCGTGGTTGAGACTAATAGACGCACTATTATGCAGACTTAGTGCGAATTTCTAGCTTGGCTAAGTTAAAACAAAAGGTGGTTTGACTTGTTAAAACTAATGGCATAACGTAAAGTGTTAGTTCGGTTGAATGGTCTGCCTAGAATGACATCAACTACAAACGACTTTTTAGTTCGGTTATACTATGATTTTGGATCAAAATCGGTGTTTTTCAATTTATTCGTGACAAGCCAGAGGTTTTATTACACGAAAGAAAGGTATGTGTTTTGAAAAAACACAAAAAATACATGTATTGTAAAAGTAAATGCGAAAACAACAAAAACAAGGCAGATTTGAGTAAACTTACCAGGTTAAGAGGAAGAAATCAGAGATGGAAGCAACGATGGAAGCAATGGCAATGAAGAACACGAACTCAACAAATTCAGGGTAGAAGAAGTTCAGGAACGAAAGAGAGAGATGAGGAAATGAATAGTGTGGTGAGTGATTCGAAAAAACAAAGAGTTTTGCTTTGATGGAAGGACTAGAGGCGGGAACTGTTCAAAATTCATGGAGTACGAAGACGGCGTGACAGCTGCATTGGGCCAATCAGAGGGGCCACGTGTCATAGAAATGAGAAGCGATTCAGTTGCTGTGATTGAAGAGACGTTTTGACTGGACAAGTACAGCCCGGTGTGAATTTAGCTCGGCTGGAAAGGTTAAAATGGTTTTTAGCCCGGCTGGAAAGGCTAAAAGGGTTTTTTACCCGGTTGGAAAGGCTAAATGGTTTTAGCTCGGTTGGAATTCTGAAATTTTTTAGCTCGGCTGGCAACAGGCACTACTAAAAAAATCACTTTTTGCGACCGCTATAAACCGTCGCAAATAATAAAAAAACAGTCGCAAAAGACCTTTTGCGACGGCCTATGCGACGGTAAATGGGGGTCGCAAATGTGGGGGTGGCAAATACTTTTTGCAACGGCAAAGCAAAGGTCGCGAATTATTCGCAACTGCCTAAACTACTTATTGCGACCATTATTTTTCCGTCGCAAAAAACAAAGAAAAACACTAACATGATTTTTGGCGACCATCTTGTTACCGTCCCAAAAAAAAAAAAAGAAAAAAAAAAGAAAAAAGTGTAACGTTAAGCACTCTAAGAGTAGTAATAACAAGAATTTAGACAGTATAGCATTGTAGTTTAATCAAGCATTCCATTTGAGTCTCAAAATTAGAGCCATATGTGAGTTATTACAACTAAAAACTTGGGAAAAATTCTTTTATGAAAAAAATACAATCCATTGGAAAACGGCTCTTTGTTGATGTTAGGGTGCGTCTTGAAGAGGACACCTGGATTGCCTCCAGTCTCAACCTGAAAGTAAGGCAAAATGTTAAAGCATGCCATTAGATAAACTTAAGGCAACATTATAGTCTCTAAATATGGTGAAGAACTAAGCTCCTGTTTGAATTTCCAACTGAAATTGAATGGCGCCATTCCTTTCTCACAAAAGAATTTAACTTAAAACTCATCACCTTGAACTGTTATTTCCATAAAGCCTATAAATGACCATATATGGAAAAATCTGATGAAGTCACCATTTTTTTCTTTCTGATGAAGTCACCCTTTTTTCCAAACAGTTCCATTTAAGCTGATATGACAAGATTCAAGTAGCTTATCCTACAGGAATGAAGAAAATGCTCTTACTGAATGAATTATTTTCAGCAAGGTTGGCACTCTTTGGGTGAAAAGTGATGATAAACAATCACAAAAGATCTAATATGACAAAGATTTAACTTCCATCTTCTCTCAAGCACTTCAAATAACATCTAATATCACAAAGATCTACATGTCTCGCATCAACCAAGTCAACATAAATTCATTCTAATGTTAACCATGACATATCGCAAAATCCCTAAGAACAGTAATACTTCAGCTTCTGTATATAATTTTGCCTTAAGCTGATAAACCAAAAAAATTGATAAACCAAAAAAATTACTATTACACCAAAAAAATTACTATTAAATAGCTGCAGGTAAGAAGTACCAATTCATTTCTTGCACAAACTGTTTATTTGTATAAAATGAAAATCTTACCCACACAATGATCACCTACAATCAACGAGTGAGTACTGACATGAAGTAACGCCATGTGGCCATCTGTATGCCCCTGAATAAGGAAAATTTTCTAAAGTCAACATGATGCAGAATGTGAGGGAGGAATCTATATTAAAGAGAAACATGGCCTAAATAATTGAAATCCTAGTCACTGTCTTGGTAATCTCATGCTAGCAGTTAGCTCTGTCAAATCAGCATAACTTTCACATATCAAGGCTACTCTTTAGACAGATACAAAAGGTGTTTGAATTTAACAGGACTGTTCACAATTTCATAACCATAACATCTAAGAGATCTCAATCCTAGAAAACTTCATGCAAGTCATTCAAAAATTTCCTCTAAGTGCACAGTATCATGTGAATAAAAGAAAATGACAGAAGAGAACCTGGCATGCCTCTGACAGAGTTGAGAATCCTTCTTCAAAACAAAGCTGAAAGTCAAAATTTTAACATAAAAGACATGTACGGGCAGAATTATAAGGTTCAGCTGAAAAGCATAGTAAAATGAATTTGGAACCTGTACTCGTCACTAACACCATATGAAAAGACTATATCCTGAAACTCTTCAAGCACTGCCACTGCACATGAATTCATAAGGTTTAAAGCTTGGCCATCGTTTGGTTTCTCAAATTCATGACCTTCAGAAAATCACTGACACACACTCATCTGCAACATTTTTCATTATGTAAGATGTTTCCAATGAAACTGAGGAAAGACAGATTTATAGATCCAGCATGCCTTCTTAGTTTTAGAATCAAACATCCTTTCCAACATCACCACATCATGTTAGGCCATGAAAATTAGATTGGGACTTTAAACAGTAATTCTATGGTCCCAGAACTTCTTTCCCAGAAATCTCCTAGAATCCAATTACCATGTGCAATATCAACTACAGCATAAAATTGGGTATGATCACTTGGTTGCAAGAAAAAGAAAACCAATAAATGAGCAGAATAT